CAAAGAAGCCCAGCAAGAAGAGATTATGCAGCTTTCCTGGCGTCTGTGTGGTGGGATCACCAAGCCCTCAGGGCCGAGATAATGAGGAATGCACAGCGCAGGGCCAGCGAACACTCAACCCAGACACAGAGGCCCCTGCAGCTCAGGATATCTGCCACCCACTGCAGGCAGGACCAGCCTTACAAGTGTCAAGGCCCAGTGCAAAATGAAAATGTGGGGCCCTCGTTCAAAATGGTTAAGAATTTCAAGAGACAACAGCAAAGCCTTAAACCAGGCATGGGGGCCTTAGTGTGGAGCCCCGTGCCACCGCCTGGGTTGCACGCCCTGCTGAGGGGCATTGCTGGTGAACGTGAGGCTGGTCAAACACAACTTCAGTTCTTGGGAGACTCTCCTGATGCAGAGGAAATGCTCGGCCTGAGTATTGGAGTATTTGTTGTTTATTTTATTTCAGGGCCCAGATTGCTTGGCGGGCAGGTGTCCAAGTCAGCACCATTAAACCAGAGAGGCGCTGACTGCCTTCCCAGCCCCCCTGCAGCTGCAGGGCGGTGCCTCCTCACATCTTTGGGGAGAGATGCTGGTTTGTGCTTTGTGTTTAGGTCCTCACAGAAAATAATCACCCCCGTCACGTGAATCTCCCACAGAGCTGCGGCTCTGGAAACTTCCTGTGGGAGAGCAGGCCTGACAACTGTCCTTTTGTGGTGTATTCAAGCCCGCAGTGCTCCGCTGAGATCTAAGGTGGGAGAGAAGGGGTGCAGCAGAGAGAGCGGAGAGGAGGCCAGCCGCTGAAGGACGTTTTAGAAAATGAGGACAGCACTTGAAAACATCAGTGAGATCCAAGACAGGAGATGTTTTTCTGTTAAAGTGTAATCTTTATCTTACGGTTTCTTTTTCCTCAGTTGTAGCCAAACATCCTTGGTGCAGACCCTGAGCTGCGTATCTTTTTAACATTTGAACAGAACAGTGGGGCTCCGTATGCCTGCTGCGGGTTCTAAGAAGTCACGCCCTCCATGTTAGACCTGGGAAGGTGAAAATGTTTTGTCTGTTGGTCCAGAACCACACAATTTTGAGAATTTCCACTACTGGAATTCCTGAGCCTTCACTGACCCACTGGCTGACAAGCCTCCCGTACTTGGAACGTGTCTATATCCAGTGGCTTGGAGCCATCCCTGCCGTGAGACTGCTCCTCATTCATTCAGTCACTGAGAAGTGTTTATTAAGTGTTTGCTGTGTGTGATGGAGTCCCCCCGGGTGGTGCAAACAGTTAACATGCACAGCCGCTAACTGAAAGGCTGGAGGTTTGTGTTCCCCAAGAGCCTCCTTGGAAAAAGGCCTAACAATCTACTTTTGAAAGATCAACCATTGACAACCCTATGGAGCAGTTCTGCTCTGACATGTGGGGTCACCGTAAGTTGGAGTCGACTTGACAGCAGCTGGTAACTGGTACTAGCACTGCTGGGTTAGACAGTGTTCTGGGTTCTGGAGACATAGCCGTGAAGAAGACTGAGTCCCCACCTCCTCGCTCTTATGTGCACCCGTCGGCGAAGAGTCAACCAACAAAGACGCAAATGCAGCAACGAGATAATTTCAGAGTGCTAAGTGTTGAGGAGAAACAAACCTGGGTGAGGGTGTAGAGTGACATGGTGGAGGAGGGAGTGCTGACCCTGGCTGAGGGTCAGGACCACCGCTCTGAGGAAGTGACACTGGAGCAGGCAGGGAGGACTGCCCGTTCCACGCCTTAGAGACGTGTGAGCCTTGCAAGTTGGAGGGGCAGAAGGAAGATCAGTGTGGCCGGAGCGTAGTAAATAGAGGTAAAGGAGGAGAAGAGTGTAGGAGATGAGATGGGTCAGGCAGGCAAGGGCCAGAGCATGTAGGGCCTTTTCAGGCTAGAGCTTTTCTCGTGGATTTTGTTGTCACTGGATTAGGAAACCAATGCAGGGCTTTAAGTCCCTGGGTGGTGCAGTGGTTAAGAGCTACGGCTGCTAATCTACCAGCCGCTCCTTGCAAACCCTATGGGGCAGTTTTTCTCTATCCTATAGGGTCACTATGAGTTGGAATTGACTTGATGGCAGTGGGTTATGGGTGGTGCAAACGGTTAAGTCCTTGGCTACTAACGGAAAAGTTGGAGCTTCAAATCCACCCAGAGGCACCTTGGAAGAAAGGCCTGGCGATTTACTTCTGAAAGTCAGCCATTGAAAGCCCTAGGGAGCAAAGTTCTACTGTGACACACATAGGATTGCCATGAATCAGAGTTGACTCGATGGCAGCTGTTTGTTTTGGTTTGTTTTTTTTCCTTCAGGGTTTAAACAGGACGGCAACGTGATCTGACAGACACTGGAGAGCGCTCACTCCCACTGGTTGCTCAGTGAAGGCAGCACTCCAGTTAGTGACTCAGCACAGCTGTGGGTGGTAGAGCCTCTAATATGTGAACTCCATCTCACCCTGAAATTATATGCTGTGGGCACAACAAAATCATTTCCACAAAGCGCTGAATTTCAGCGAGCTCTTCATGTAGTGGCTTTTCGTGGCTTGCCAACTTTAATAAATGCTAGTATTAATAAGGAGCCCTGGTGGCACAGTGGTTAAGAGCTGGGCTGCTAACCAAAAGGTTGGCAGTTCAAATCCACCGCCGCTCATCGGAAACCCTATGGGGCAGTTCTACTCTGTCCTATAGGGTTGCTATAAGTCGGAATCAACTTGATGGCAATGGGTTTTTTTGGGGGGAGGGGGAGGTTATTATTAATAAATGTTTATATAGCTCACTCCCCAGCTCACAAATCAGTAGGTCTCTGTTGCAGGGTTTCCAGGTGAGGCTCACCCTTCGACGTTGTCAGGCACTCCATCTGCTCAAACCAGGGCTTGGGGCTGGCCGCCTCGTGCTCTCCAGCTTGCCTTTCTTTCCAAGCTCTGCCTGATTGCTTCTCCTATTGGAAGCTTTCTCTTTTAAAGTATTTGAAGTTTGGATATTGGCACTTCTCTCTGACTCCATTTTTTTCTAGAAGCTTAGAGGACTCGTCTGAGTCCTGGCTAGCAGAAGGATAATAAGCTGTTAGCTGCAACAGAAACGATGTACCCGGTATGACAGGTATGGAACAGAAACAATTTTTTTAAAAAAATGACTCAGTGGAGCTTTTCCCAGGATTTCCTGCCCTGCACAATCTTTCCAGTTGATACTAATGAAATTGTCTTGCGATTTGGGAGAGATTGTATAATAGTCCTTTGTTCTGAAGTGAAATTGGAGAACATCTGTTGGGGACAACTTTATTGACAGAACCTTCCTTGATATTTATTTTTCCTTAGCTAGTCCTGATGCATACTAACAGTAGTGTTAAGTTTCATCTACTTGTATGCTGTAGTAAAAATAAGATCGTTTAATAGGTTACAGAGTAAAAGAATTTTTACGATTCGTTGGCCCTTCTTCCAACCATTTGTCAAGTATAATTTAGCTTGTGGTGAAGTTCAGGTCCCTGAGTGGTGCAAATGGTTTGTGCTCAACTACTAACCTAAAGGTTGATGGTTTGCACCTACCTAGGGGCAGTGCGGAAGAAAGGACTGGCAATCTGCTGCCATAAGATTACAGCCAAGAAAACCCTATGGAGCAGTTCTGCTCTGACATACATGGGGTCATCATGAGTCAGAATGGACTTGTAAGCAGTGTGGGTTTTTGGTTTGGTTTGGTTTATGGATAAAGTGAACCTTCAGGAAGGTGCAATAATAGTGATATGATAAATATTCAGATGTTAGAGCTTCAAGAGACCTTAGGGGTGATTTAGCTCAACCCCCACATTTTACATGAAGGGAAGTAGAAACTCAGAGAAATACATGGACCTGCCTGAGGTGAAAAGCCAGCTAGTGGTCAAGTGGGTTCCTTTCACCACACACTGTTTCTAATTAGCGGCAAGCAGAACCAGATGTCCCAAACGGAAAATGCAGAAAGCCCAACAAAAGGGGGACCTGCTGCAGCTCTCCCACCATCTCCCCTTCCCCCAAGGCAGGGGACTTTTATCTAAGCACCTATGTGAACTCTTAAGAATGAATCATGAAAAATAACTATCATGATCTCAGAACCATTGAAAATATCACATAGAAAAGCTGAATTACATAAACGAAAGTTACATGAATCACATGAAGTATCAAGCATGTTAAAAAAATTTTAAAACCATTCCAAGAAGTACTCCAGCCAATAAATCTATAAATTTGAAAAAAAATTAAAAAAAGAAAATGTTTTGCTGCTTCAGCAAATGTATTTGAAGTTTACTTGCAAGTAAGAAGCTGGGCCGGGTCTCTCTCTAAAGATGGTCACTGCTTGGATGGCCTCCAGCAGGCAGCCCTCTTGCTGGCACTGCTGCATGCGTTTTTTGAAACAGTTTGGTTTTCAAATAGTGTGAAGATGAATGGACAGAGTCTTTCTTCAGAACCTAGACTTTGAGTGCCCTTTTTCTCAGCAAGCGGGAGTTAGCAGAGCTGGAGAACCAGTAACTCACTGAAGGCTCTCTATTCCTTTTTATTCCCCGAGGGAGTCCTGTTTGTGGACTGTGCCAGGGTAGCTGAATTCTGAGTTGTTCTCTATGCCTTTTCTCAGCTTCCTGAGCCCTTTGCTGGCTCCCTGCCTGGCCCTGTGTGAGGGGCTGAGGCGTTGAATTCTCTCTGGCACTGGTGTGGGGCCAGACACGTAGGTGGCTTTTCAGGGCGCTGCTCAAAAACTTGCCCTCCTGGTTTGTTTTTGATTGTGTGTGTGTGTGTATGTGTGTGTGTGTTTTCATGCCTACACCCTAGGAACATTCCAGCCAGAGGTGCCAAAAATCACAAGGCTCCATTTTCTCAGTGGTGAGTTTACTGTATTCCTCACTGTCTGAAAGGACTGGAAACAACAGACTTGTGGCTATTTATCAGTGATGGGACGGTGCCACATTTAACACTGCTCCCATGAGTCTGTGAAGACTTCGTAGTCAGTTTTATTTCCACCATTTTAACCCCCTCAGATGACAGTGCTTTTCTTGCAGGTCATAAGGAAGGAGACTGGATTTTGGAGAGACTTTGGATTTGGGATGACGTGTCAGTATCGGTCGGACTTCATCAATATAGGTGAGAAAAATCTTTTTGAAAAAAACTGCATCTCTGCTGCCACCCAGAGGCCACTGGTATGTGTGTGGGCCTCAAGGAAATCAGGTCAGGATTCACAGGAGTTTGGTAGCAAAGGTGGTGCCATTTCCCCCCCCTCAAAAAATGTGGTTCCTCATGTCAGGGATTCAGAGATTGAAGCAAAAGCAAAAGGAGGTTTAGGGGGTGGCACTTTAGCCCCTATTATCATCACCAGCACCTCTCAGTCACCCCAAATAATACACACAATCAGAGGTAAAAGGGGAGCTTGTTGCATAGAAGCAGTTCAAAGCAAGTTCTCCAGTGCCTCCTTTCAACCAGGTTCTCAGTCCTGAGCCTTTTCAAGTAGGAAATCCTGAGCCTCCATTGCAGGGGGATCCATTAAAAAAATAAGGGAAATATTGAACATCTCAGAAAAACACGTGTCAGAAAAAGTACAGATTTCTCACTGTGGAACTTTCAAAATTCCCTGTGTCACTTCAAGTCCTGACTGAGTGTGCAGTCACTGACACGACGCACACTGCATACGCGCACGCACACACACACACACACGCGCACAGGTTCCCAGAGCAGAGAGGGGAGAGGCCTTTAGGTTGTAGTTGAGGAGACCAAGGCTCTCAGAGGCCAAGGGATCTCTCCAGGCCTCACAGCAAGTGAAGGACAGAGCCAGGATTAGACGAGAGGTCTCCTGCCCTTCCCCTCAATACCACACCACCTTCTCACAGCAGTTGATACCTATATTCCTCTGAAGGGAATAGAATTGTGGGTTATAAATAACCAAGGCATGAATGTAAAGGCCCAAACCCAGGCTCAGGAGCTGAAAGATACCAAGGTGAACCCAGAGAGTGGAGTCAGGGAGGCCCTGCCCACTGAATGGTGTGGGGAGACTCCTCATAGCAGCATGAAGATGCCCATCCTCGCCATCCCCCTGCAGACCTCCCATGAGTCAGCTAGTCTTGCTCTCTCCCAGTCTACTCCTCTGCAGACCCAAGGCCTAAAGCTTCTCCTTTTAAAATCTGTGAGTAGGAGCAGCACAGGTTTTTTGTTTGTTTGTTCAGCTGAAGTGAACGACAGGGTATCACAGAACCCTCAAGGAAATCACTGGGTTAAAAAGGAAAAACCAACACACAAACTTGAAAATCAAGTCCTGTAAGAAGCAGCAGAGCATCCAGTATGCAGGTCACTAAGTGGTGTGCGCTCCGCAAACACCCGGCAAGTAACTACAGGCGTTCTTGGATTTCTCCAAGAAAAATATCCCTAAGCAGTTATGTGCAAATCAGATTTCCAAAAATGACATATGTAGAAATTTTCTAAAGGAGATTTCCATAGAGAGAAACTCTATGCTTCCTTGCCCTTTGTACAGGAAAAGATTATTTTGTGACGATGCATACTTTTATTGAATTTGGGTTTATGTTCATTGGATTTTCCTAGTGGTGGGTCATAATTGTCATGGAAAAAAGTGGGGATGGCAGGCTGGGAGGATGCACTTCCTCAGGCAGCTGTTGCCATGAGCTCAGAGTCTTTTGGTCAGTTTTGGATCACAGTCACTCTCGCAATCTTGAATGTGTTTCCAAGTGTTACTCGTCTAACTCCTATTTAATAAGTTAGAATGATAACAATTATAAAAATAAATCAATTATAGTTCACCAAGCACTGCCCTTTGTCTTACTAATTCATTTGGTTATGACACCTACTGCACTTAAGGGAAAAACAAACAAACTCAAAAACCAAACTCGTTGCCGTTGAGTTGATAGGACAGAGTAGAACTGCACCATAGGGTTTCCAAGAAGCAGGTGGTGGATTCGAACTGCCGACCTTTTGGTTATCAGCCAAGCTCTTAACCACTGTGCCACCAGGACTCCCAAACAAACTCAACAGAAGTTAAATGACAGCTTCTAAGAGAAGGGCTCAAATTCTGGTACCCTAACTCATAATTGGAGCCCCAGTGGCACAGTGGTTAAGTGATATGGCTGCTAACCTAAAGATCGGCAATTCAAATCTACCAGTCACACCTTGGAAACCCTACAGGGAAGTTCTACTCTGACCTATAGGGTCTCTCTGGGTCGGAATCAACCCAATGGCAACGGGTCTGGGTTTTTTTTTTTTTTTTAAACTCATAATTGGAGCCCTGTTAGTGCAATGGTTAAGAGCTAAGGCTGCTAACGCAAACGTCAGCAGTTCAAATCTACCAGCCATTCCTTGGAAACCCTATGGGGCAGTTCTGCTCTGTCCTATAGGGTTACTATGAGTTGGAATTGACTCAGTGGCGATGGGTTTGGCTTTTTGGTTTAACTCATAAATTAAGAGATTGCCTAATGGTTCAGTGATTAAGCACTTGGCTGCTAACTGAAAGGTTGGTGGTTTGAACTCACCAGTGGCTCCGCTGGAGAAAGATCTGTCAGTCTGCTTCTGTAAAGATTATAGCTTTGAAAACCTTGTGGTGGCAGTTCTACCCTGTCCCATAGGGTTGCTGTGAGTGGGAATCAACTGGAAGACAATTAACTGTACACCTTTCTTTGCCTGTCCACCATTGAGGGGTCACAAATCCCTCACATAGATAGCTCAGGGGCTGTGCTTATGGTTTCCCTGTGCATGAGGCCCCTTTTCCCATTCCAGTGATAGTCTCGGTCAGAGGAGCTCAGGTCAGGTGAGGTTCCACGATAAATTCTGAGAAAAGAAAATGTTTAGGATCACTTCACTGTCTCTTGTAAGAGTTGAATAAATCTGCTTTGTGAGGAAGGAATGATGACAACTGGAAGCCGGTGCTTCTTTGGCTCTATTTGGGATCTGGTGGATTTTAGGTAAGGAAAGGTGGGGCATCTCAGTCTACAAAGGTGGAGCTTTAGGGACTGTTAATGACTTTATGAAGGAGTTCATTATAAAATGAAACAAGATTTTCTTTAAGTAGAACTTTAGAATTGACTGTACGGCCAAACCAAACCCATTGCCGTTGAGTTGATTCCCATTCATGGTAACCCCATGTGTTACAGCGTAGAACTGCTCCAGATCACCAGGCCTTACTTCTGCAGTACTGGTGGGTAGGTTCAAACTGCCAACCTTTAGATTAGTAGTCAAGCGTAAACCATTCGTGCCACCCAGGGACATTACCAGTTCTCTTTGAAATAACTAATTTCGCCAGCCCGTGGTGGACACGGAAACCCTGGCGGCATAGTGGTTAAGAGCTACGGCTGCTAACCAAAAGGTCAGCAGTTTCAATCCACCAGCCACTCCTTGGAAACCCTGTGGGGCAGTTCTACTCTGTCCTGTAGGGTTGCCATGAGTTGGAATCGACTCGACGGCAGTGGGTTTGGTTTAGTTTCGGTTTTATGGTGGACACACAGCTTTTCAAGACCACTATCCCTCAGTAGGGTTACTATGAGTTGGAATCAACTTGACGGCAACGGATTTATCGCTGAGTGGTTCAAACAGTTAAGCCCTGGACTACTAACCGAAAGGTCGGTAGTTCACACCCACCCAGAGCCTCCTTGGAAGAAAGGCCTGGCGCTCTGCTTATGAAAGGCCACAGCCTTGAAAACACTATGAAGAGCAGTTCTATTCTGCAACACATGGGTCCCCATGAGTTGGAATTGACTCTATGGCAACTTTTTTTTTGTGGGGAGCAGGGTATAATCTATGAAAGGGTGTTTTGTGGGAAGTAACTATTTTCATGTGGGCATCCTGCTTCACCCCTTCATACTGCAAGCCCCTGGTTTAGTCTCTGTTTCCAGTGGTAAGAGGAGAGCACATTCAAAGAGAAACACCAGGTTTCCAATTGAAAAGTTGGGCTGATGCTGCAGCTCTTAATCTGAGCAATTCATTAGCATTGCTGATAGCTCTTCAAACAGGAAAATGCTTGCAATTCTGTTTGTAGTCTTTTTATCTTAAGAACTTGGCGCTGTCTGTCATGAGGATTGTCTGTGTTTGGGGATTTCCGAGGCCTCTGACCAGAATGGACACTCTTATAACTTGCAGGGGTTGGGAAGCACACGACATCTCCTAAACGCCTTTTCACGCAAAGTTCTATGCCTATGCAGATCAAAAAACCACATCAGTTGCTGTCAAATGGATTCCAACTCATGATGACCCTATGTGTGTCAGAGTAGAACTGTGCTCCATAGGGTGTTCAAGGCTGTGACCTTTCGGAAGCAAACCACCAGACCTAGCTGCCGACCTTTCGGTTAGTAATGAAGTGCTTAACTGATTATGCCACGCAGGGACTTCTTGTGTTGATCAGGGAAGCAGATATATAGATCAGGGAATGCATGGGCCGCAGTATTCAACCATGTGCTTTCTCCTGACAGGTGGGTTTGACTTGGACATCAAAGGCTGGGGAGGAGAGGACGTGCACCTCTATCGCAAGTACCTCCACAGCAACCTCATAGTGGTGCGCACACCCGTGCGGGGACTCTTCCATCTCTGGCACGAGAAGCGCTGTGTGGACGAGCTGACCCCTGAGCAGTACAAGATGTGCATGCAGTCCAAGGCCATGAATGAGGCCTCCCACGGGCAGCTGGGGATGCTGGTCTTCAGGCACGAGATCGAGGCTCACCTTCGCAAGCAGAAACAGAAGACAAGAAGCAAAAAGACATGAACTCCCAGGGGTGGGTTTTGGGAGAGATTTTGTTTTTTTTTTATCCTTTTGCGCTTACTGAAAGACTGGCTGCAACAAGGAAAAGACTTCCATAAAGGGCGACAGAAGAGTTGACCAGTGAGTAAAAGAGATGAGAGGAGAGCCACGCCATTCATTCTCTCTCGGCCTATTTGGCTGTATGCAGCAGAAATGAAAATCTCCCACTTTGCCTGCAGAAGTAGCCCACCTGCACCCTGGGCAGGGTGTTGACAAAGGCAGAAGGATTGTGAGATTGTGAGCCTGGCAGTGTGGAGGTGTCTGAGTATTGTTTGGTGTTTACAGCAAAATGAGACGTATTGTTTTCTGTGCTCATTGAAATATTCATGAATTAAGAGCAGTTTTGTAAAAAGTTAATTAGAATGAAAGGCAAGCTCATTTTCCCCCATATGCACGATTACATCAGTAGTTGCTAAGAATGCTAAAATATCAAAAGGCCTTAGGAAATGTGGAAATATACCCATCGCAATCCTTGTGAGTCTATTAGGCAAAACCAAATGGACCAAAAAAAGAAAAATCATAAATACCGTATCATTTCCCCCCAAGATTAACCAAAAATAATCTGTTCATTTTTTCTGTTGTACTTATAACCATCTCCATTTGGTGAATTTGGTTTAAAAATGCACTTTTTTGTTATTGTTGTTGCTTGTAAGTTAGATTCTGCTTATTTAAATACCAGTTTGTAGGCCTTACTAAGCAAGCGTAAGTTACCATACAGTTTTATATTTTTAGAGGAGATGCTTCTAGATGCATTATGGAAACTTGGAGTGCAAAGCATCAAACTGAGATCCCTACCCAAGGACATGCCAAATGCTGCCTCCTGTCAGACACTGAGCTTCAGATCCTGTAGTCTGTGGAAGGCACGGTTGGGAGCTACTGATAGAACAAGACATAAAGCTGCTTTATCTGAAGAGTATTTCTGAAGAGGAGCCACTGAACACTGGAGGAGTAAAAAAAAACAAACAAAAAAGAACTTTTCACCTTAACAGGAAGGAAAAAAAAGCCCACATTCAGACGGGTGATACATCTTGATATATTTAAAAGTCAGAAAACATATTTTATCCTCAGGAAAACTGGGGACCACTTTCTTACCTGTTGAAATAAACCAAAGTATACCCTGTGAACCAGACAATCTCTTTTCAAAGCAGGGTGCCTTTCCTGGCTTCTGGCTTCAAAGAGAAGAAATGCAGAAAAATCTATTTTGGTGACAGATCAATCCATCTGCCACTGTCTAGCAGAATGGAAGTTTTTGCTACATGTTCACACACCCTAGTCTAGGGGGAAGAAATTGAACTCTTTTTTTAAATTAAGCAGTTCTACTCAGTCACCAAGATGCTTCTGAAAATTGCATTTTATTACAGTTTCAAACTATTTTTTAAAAAATAAATACAGTTAACACTGAGTGATTTCTACATTCATGTGAAAATCATTTATTTATTAGCCAGCACCGGATGCATGAGCTGATTATCTCTCTGATTCCTTGCCTTCTGTTTGCTCACAGTAAACTCATTATTTAAAAGCTTCAAGAACGTTCAAGCTGTTGGTGTGTAAAAAATGCATCGTATTGTACTGGCAGTTCATAAAATTTAATTAAAACACAGGACATGAATGGAAGGTAGCATTGGACAGCTAATAAACTATGATTTATATTGGAACCCTGGAGTAAGAATGCCATGTCTTTAGTTTTTGGAAAACAGTATCTTGAGCATAGACCAGATGTCTCAACCTTAGCGCCACTGACAGATTGGGCCCAATCATCTGTTGTGCGGAGCTGTCCTGTGCAGTGCAGGAAGTGTAGCAGCATCCCTGGCCTCTGCCCACTGGATGCCAGTATAGCATCTCTCACCTAACTGTGACAGCCACAATGGCTCCAGTCATTGCCAAATATCCGCTAGGGATCAAAATCGCCCCTGGTTGGGAACCACTGGTCTGGAAGGAGGTGAGAACGAAAAGCCATTTATCTATTTTTTGACCTTTGTAATTAGAAGAAATTGAGAATGATTTCTAAGATCCCTTTTGACTCTGTGTTTAGTATTTTCACATGTAATGATGATACTGGTGACTCGGGTCACTCTGGCCTGTCTCCCCACTGGCGCTGATGGATTTTTGTGACACACCTGCACGCTGTTGCCCGTGTTCTCCCAGTGTCTGGAGGATGCATTTCCAACAAGGATGGTGGTATTAGTGAAATGTTTTGACCATGTCCTGAGGTTCACCCTTCAGCCAAAGATTAGACAGGCCCATAAAACAAAACAAGACTAAAGGGGCACACCAGCTCACGGGAAGGGACTAGAAGGCAGGAGGGGACAGGAAAGCTGATGATCGGAAACCCAAGGTTGAGAAGGGAGAGTGTTGACATGTCATGGGATTGTTAACCAATGTCATAAAACAATTTTTTTTTAAAAAAATGTTTTGACCATGGAATTAGGCAGGTGTAAGTGTTCAGTGGGGAGCAGTGGTGGTTCCGTGGTAGAATTCTCATCTTCCATGAGGGAGACCCACGTTTGATTCCCACTCAAGGCGTATCTTGCAGAGCCCACCTGTCAGTGGAGGCTTGTGTGTTGCTATGATGCTAAATAGGTTTCAGCGGAGCTTCCAGACCAAAAAAAAAGAAAAGATGGACTAGAAGAAAGGCCTAGTGATATACTTCAAAAAATCAGCCAATGAAAACCTGATGGATCACAATGGTCTGATCCACAACCAATCATGGGGCTGGTGCAGGACCAGGCAGCATTTCATTCTGTCGTGCATAGGGTTGCCATGAGTCAGGGGCCAACTCAGTGGCCTCCAGCAAGTATCCCATAGTTGGTACATTCCTAGGCTGCATTCAATGGGCTAATCATGTGTTTGTTTAAATTGCATACAGCAGATGCCTGAGATAGTGGTTAGAACTTGGATTTTAAAAATTACCGAAGCTACTTGAAGAGAAGAGGAAATGGCAAAATATTAAAATATTTCTCTGTTTTCAGTGCTTAGATAAAATGGTTTTATCAAAGGGTAGCCATGGCTCCCACGTAAGGAAACTCAGCAAGAGGGGATCCATCCCCATCTCCTACCAAAAATATGCACAAAAGAAGGGTTGGCACAGGCCCCACTGAAACATTATAATTAGGTACCTGGAATTGAAACTTAGATAGCAAAGGAGAGTAGCTTCTGCTGAGGAATCACTGAGTCTTGGGCTTGTCTAAGGCCCCTTCCAACTCTGCATACTTTCTCTATTCCTACTCTACATGCATTGCCTAGTGACCAGCCCAGGCACCTCACTGGAGCTGGGGGCTCTAGTATAAAACTTGGGATCTCCTTCAAGCAGCAGTGTGCTGGTACAGGCACATGACAGCCAATTATTAGTGTCTTTTCTTAGTTCCTTGTTCAGTGATGGTTGATAGCTTGAAATCAACCATGGTGGCAGTATTTACACCGTGAAAACTGGTAATTGGCAAATGCTACAAATCAGGGTTCCCCTGCCCCCTGCCCAGAGAGCCAGTTGTTAAGTATTTAGCAGCACACCACTGACTCCAAGTCACATAGCCTCTCGTGCTCAATTTTCCCTCCAATCTTACTTTATGCCCCTCTTTTTTTTCATAAATGTGGCCTACTTGCTTCTCCATGCAAGTCAGTGAAAGGAGAGACTCAGGCCTAGAAATTTTCAACGGTTAAACAGAACTTTACAGAGCTCTATTTTTAAAATTTTGCCTGAACCAAGTAGGTATAATATATAATCCTGATAAGTAAGAAAATAGCAACCCAGCACCCAAATGTTTGTTTCAAGGAAGATCTTCCAATCTTATCTTACCAAGATTCAGTACAAGGTGGTGGTAAATATGGCTTCTCCAGTTGGACCGCCTGGGTTCAAATCCCAGTTCTTTCATTTGCTACCTATATGATCTTAAATCAGTTACCCAGCATCTGTGTATCTCAGTGTCCGCATTCAGGGTGATGAAGGCAACAGCATCTGTGTCATACGATTGTGGTAAAGATTCAATGAGTTAACGTGTATGAAGTCCTTTGGACACATCAGGCACATAGTAGGTATTTGTTTACCTATTTTATCCAACACAAAATTCTTCACTTACGACTGTTTATCTGTGCCTGTTACGCCTCCCAGCGTGCCCAGCACCTTGTGAACATTATCAAAGGACCAGTATTGGCCACACAGTAGAGATTATGAAACCATCACATACCCTGTTGTCCTTTATTTCTGTCACTCTGAAAACAGTCTCAGTCCATCTGGAGGAAAAAGGTTACTAGAAGTGTAAAATTTAATGGATAATTTCTACCTTAAATGCATGCTCAGTAATTTGGAGTTGATGACCCCCTAGGTGGTTGGGAGCCATGAGTGGGTTTTGAAGTAGAGGACAGAGCCAGTCGCCTAATGTATAAAATGCAAACCCTCTAAAGTAGGTAACATCCAAAAAAAACCAATTGCTATTGAGTCAATTCCAACTCATGGCGACCCCATTTGTGACAAAGTAGAACTGTGCTCCATAGTGTTTTTCAGTGGCTGATTTTTCAGAAGTAGATACCAGGTCTTTCTTCTGAGGCGCCTCTGGGTGGACTTGAACTGCCTACCTTTTGGTTAGCAGCCGAGTGTGTTAACCATTTGCCCAGCCCAGGACTCCTTAAGTAACATCACTACTTCCATTTTTTGGCTGAGGAAGACCGAAGCTCAGAAATGCTAAGGAACTTGCCCTGAAGCTGGGCCAGAAAGTACCTGGCTCCAGAGCTCATGCCTCACCACGAGCTCCAGACTAGCTGGGAGGTCTGGGGGAAAGAGCTTTGGCCTGGGCCAAGTCCCTAGCCTGCCCTTTTTGTGGCTCCGTTTTCCACTGTTTTTCTGTTCTCCTCCCCACCCCCACCCCCACTTGAAAAATCCCTCGACTAGGAATGAAAACTTGTTAACACAGTGGTCCATGAACAGTTAAGCAACAGTCCACCTGCAGCCTCCCTGCAGCTGCTGTGAAATTACCGGGGGCGTTAGGACTCCATTTGGTATTGCATCCAGCTCCCACACAGGATTCCAAGGTGTCACACTTAAAGACTGCTTGAGTAGGAGGTGCGAGCAGGTGGGAATAGTTGCTTTTTAAAAAAGATTTGACATTGTTTCTGAGAATTGTTGATTAGAGATAATGACCCTGGGCAGTTCCTTAGAAGTGTGGGTGTGTACTCCCAGCCACACATCAAATACTGGTAGCTTTGCGTGATCCATATTCTGATTAGCTTTATATTTTAATTCAAAGCTGTTTCTCCTGGCAGGGCTCACTGGCTTTGCCATCACTGACAAACACGATTGGGCTGTGCCAGTTTATTGAGGGTTTTGATTTTTTTTTTTTTTCAACCCAGAGACTATGTTCCCTCCTGTCAGCAGAGGAGCCCTGGTTGGCTCAATGGTTAAGTGTTTGGATGCTAACCAAAAGGTCAGCAGTTCGAATCCACCAGCTGCTCCTTGGAAACCCTATGGGGCAGTTCTACTCTGTTCTACAGGATCCCTATGAGTCGGAATCAACTCAGTGGCAATGGGTTTTGGGTCAGCAGAGGTGCCATTCAAAATTGCTTTACATTACTGACCCTTTGAACACGCCCTCCGGAGTCGTCAGCCCCAGTGTCCCCTCAGCTGTGGTGGCTTGTCTGATAATCTAGCAAGAAGGTGAACAGAGACTGTAAGGGCGGAGGGGCAGGCGAGGGCGCCCTGTGGAGAAGGTAAGCCACTTCAGCAGCCTCTGCCCAGGACACACCAAATGGTGCCTTCAGCCTGCCACCTTCGGTGCAAACGGCCTGCCTTCTACAGGCAAACACCCAGGTGGATGGGGACTGGCCGATGTTTGGTGAATTGGGCTTACTCTTCATCAACCTGGGAATCACTTTAACTTGAAATTAGATAAGTATAGTATTGCCGGGCAACTCCCTCCACCTCAGTCACTGTCACCCCCCCCCACCGCCACACACAGCTTCTACCCCACTGCCAACCCACTACCACACCACCCTCCATCTCCAATGTTTAAAAATGTGCAATAAACATCACCGGGCCTGCTAGAATGCTAAACCTCATTTAAAAATTTAAATACACACACAGACACAAATCACCCCTCAAATTCAAAGGCAGAAGGAAACATTTAACTTGTTTTCCTAGTCATCAGCCTTGAACAGAGTCACTTAAAAATCACACACAGAGTGTGGGGCTGTAAAGAGTGGTAGGGAATGGACTGGTTGGTGAGCTTTCTCTAGGATGCTGCCACACCATAGCGAACCCCCAAAAGATGAGGTGCTCACCATTTTGTTTGGTTGTGGAGGCAAAGTACTGTGGAGGGTTACCGGGATTTTGACTCAGCTGGTGGGAAGACTCCATAATTGAACTCCTTTCAGTTGAATAAAAATCAAAGTTGATTTGGGTTGACAAGGGCAGCAGGGGATTGCCTCCTCCCTGGTACCTGTCCGGCACTGGTGCACCTGACCTGTCCAGGAGAGAGGCGGGGTTAATCCCAAAGGGGCCTGGGCTTATAACAAGTGTTCTGGTCAAAAAGGGAGGCAAATACTTGGGAATTTGTGATCAAGAGTCCTAGAGGACCTGAATTAATGTGTCAATGGCCAATTTTGGAATAAAGACTGGTTACTCCTAACTCATGGGTTGTCAGAGTCAGACATTAGAAAATGCCCCCTCTATGTCATTCCAAATCCAAACTAAGTGAGCGTTTCTCTGCAGTTGAAAGCTTGCTAATGTATTGTGGATTCATTGTTGTATCTCTTACTCTTGAAAGCTTTCCCTTCTCTCCCTAAAAGTCATCCCAGAAACTCTAGGAAATTGTTCATTAGGATACACAGTTCATCAGTTACAGAAACTGAGTTAATAAAGGGGGAGCATGGAGCTCAAGGTTCCTGGTTTCACTGGACCCTTGGTTCACTAGGAATCATTACCATTTACGGGGAGATTTTCATATACCAGGCACTTAACATTTCTTTTCTAGTTCTCAGAACCCAGTGAGGTGACTATTAGTAGCTCCTGTTTTAAAGATGAAGAAGCTGAAGCTCAGAGAAGTTTAGGAATATTTTTCCTTTAAGTTTACACGCAGCTAGTTAATGGTATAGCTAGGATTCAAACCCAAGCCTGCTGGGCTTTCTTTCTACTATATCAAGCTACCTCATTATCAACTATTAGTTTTACCACATACTAAAAAGAGGGCACTTTTATCATTTAAGCTTCCTGATAGTTTTCAATCTGGGGCAGCAATAGGGAGTGTCATGGATTGAATTGTGTCCCCCAAAAATGTGTCAATTGGTTGGGCCATGATTCTTAGTATTGTGTGACTGTCCACCATTTTGTCATCCGATGTGATTTTCCTATGTATTGTAAATCCTGACTCTATGATGTTAATGAGGGGCAATGGGCAGCAGTTGTGTTGATGAGGCAGGACTCAATCTAAGGGATTGGATTATGTCTTGAGCCTGTTTCTTTTGGGATATAAAAGAGAGAGGCGAGCAGAGAGACGGGGGACCTCATACCACCACGAGAGCAGTGCAGGGAGCAGAGTGCATCTTTTGGACCCGGGGTTCCTGTGAGAAGCTCCTGGTCCAGTGGAGGATTGATAAGAAGGACCTTCCTCCAGAGCCAACAGAGAAAGAAAGCCTTTTCCTGGAGCTGATGCCCTGAATTTGGACTTCTAGCCTACTGTGAGGAAATAAATTTCTCTTTGTTAAAGCCATCCACTTATGGTATATCTGTTATATCAGCACTAGATAACTAAGACAGGGAGATAAGGAAATAAACACGAAATGTAATAATAGGACTTAAATCCCCCAGTGAAGGCAGTGAAGAGCAGAATCCAAATTGACAAAATTTAATCTATGCTGTGAAAAGGGAGAGATGAGAACATCTCCTAAAATGCAAAGGAAAAAGATGGAGAGATGAAAACAATGATGGGATTACAAAAATGGAAAGCAAAGAAGAGAAATTGAAGTGAGAATTATTAGCTACTCCTGAGGAAGAGAAAATCACAATTCAAACAGAAGTATCATTCAAAGATATAACTGAAGAAAACTTACGTGCTGTATAAAGATCTGTGCAATGCAACCTGAAGCAAAGGATTTACCAGGTTCTTGACAAGAACGAATGCAAAGACACATCCAAGCATATCATATAAATCAATTTTGTGTCTTCTCTGTGCACCAAATGGCAGGAGTACCAAGGTATGTATGTGTGAGGGCTATAAAAAAATGTTTGGACTCGTGCTGCCTTTACAGAAGGTGGCAATTGCAAAAATTTAGACCATGACTTTTTTTTTTTTTAAATCTAATAGTAGATTTCATGCCACATTAGCACGTCATTACTTTACACTAAACGGATGGTTAATTCCAAAGCTTTAGCTTGGCGAGGCAATTTTTGGTACAAATGCCCCTGAGATATTTTTGGTGGCCTGCCCATCCTCTATCTTTACTACCCCCCCCCCTTTTTTTTTAATCCCTTTTCTTCTTAATTGTCCCAGTGTTTTTCCTCTTCTTGATGTAAGGTTTGAGCCTCTCAATAACACTTCTTGACATTGTTTACCACTGCTGGAGGCACTGAGGGTGACAAAATAACATTCTTGTGCATCCTACTGCAGCAGTGCAGGGGAGGAACCCAGAACCAGGAGGCTTACAGGTGACCTGATGGGGTTGGGTGGGTATGTGAGGGTCTGCCAATATGGAAGTAGCAGCCAGAAAATCTGGGGTGACTGTAAGAGGGAGATCACCAAGAGGGAATTGAGAGAGAGAAGAATCAACATGGGAATTGAGAGAGAGAAGAATCAACATGGGCGGGGATTGACAGTTGGGCACAGTCCCAAAGAGGCAGGTGATGAGAGTTCCTGGTGCTGGGAACCTACTCAGTAGGAAACACAGGGTAACATCGCAGACCAAGAAACCTTGAGCAAGAAGGGAGCTGGACTTGTTGAGACAACAGAAAAAAAAAGGAGCAAGGCTAGGGTTCGAACATCCTCACTTCAGGCCACAACTAGGTCAGACATAGGCAAGACTGAGATGAAAGCATAGATGGGATGAGAATCTGGACCCCATCAACCCTGATTAGTTGTAATCAACTTCTGAATTCTGTAAAACATTCTCCATTTTAAGAACTTCAAGTATTATTCCTGGCCATCATTTCATCGAATACTAAACAGTTTATTTCTCTGAGTATCAATAACTAACAGGTCAAAATAGTAAAGAATTCAAATATGCTCCCGTCTTTGTCATATTAAGTTAGTTCAGTATGGTTATTTCCTGTTTTCTGAATTTTTCTTCTGTAGGATGTCTCTTAGTGTATTTATATCTTAATATGATCATACTTATTTCCTCCAAAATAATTTAGGCAGAGGGTGATGTCTGAATCTTACATGTATTCAAAATTATTAGTGACTGTAGGGTACTTTTCTATTCATTCCAATAAGTAATAGAACCACAATCATAAGGTCTCAGAGCTGCAAGAGACCTTAATAAAGAACACCTGGTTAAAATGCCTTCATTTTTGCAGAAGAGAAAATTGAGGCTCAGAGAGGTAAAGTGACCTGTCCGAGATCACACAGCTAAAGGTGGGAAGAGATGGGAAGAGAATCCAACTTTCTGACTTCCAGCCCTGTGCTATTTCTGCTATTCTATAATGCCATGACTGCTGAATCATAGTTACAAACAGAAGCTAAGAAACAGATTCTTATCGTAATAGTTTAACAATATGAACCACATGGAAAATTTCAAGACACACTTAATGATGATCTATATTTAAAAGCTTTCTCATTAAAACGCGCACAGTGTCCTCTTCCTCTGATTACATTTTACATTGTCAATGAGTATTTTACACAACCGACAACCTCATGAACAGAAGAATGACATATGAGTTTATCTTTAAGAGGCATTTTAAAAGAATGCTGACATGGGGAGTTAGGTCTGAAGTACACAGAAATCTCCATCTTCCCAGAAAAGACAATCTCGAGTGACTCAGAGCCTCCTGGGTCACTGCCCAAGACCACCCCCCTTGGTAGGACTGGCCTGAGAGTTGCTGGAAGGGGCCGTGTCTGCAGTGGGACAAAGACCCAACTGAACATAAATATGTCCTAGAGCTAAACTGGACCCTGGTGGTGCAGCAGTTAAGAGCTTGGTTGCTAACCAAAAGGTTGGCAGTTTGAATCCACCAGCCACTCCTTAGAAACCCTATGGGGCAGTTCTACTCTGTCCTACAGGGTTGCTATGAGTCTGAATTGACTCGATGGCAACCAGTTTAGAGCTAAACAGAGTTGGGAAGTTACTCTCATCTCCCTTTTTCACTTCATTTTGAGAAGGGTGAACATACGTCAAGAAATGGGTACACAGTGCACGTCAGGTTCCATAATTACATAAAGTAGTATCCAAACAGCTTGATGAGTCTGTTCTTGATTCTGCAGCACTAATAAGTAGCACCTTATGTGTGCATGTGCTCTACCCTTCTTGCCGCACCCCTGGACACAGCACAAAGTAGGCAGGGCGAGCAAGGGTTGCCCCCTTCTCCAGAAGGAGCAAACAAACTCATGGATGCTTGCTGACATTCCCACACGCCGTATGTATTTTTGCCTCTCACCCACATTTGAAAACTTCTTGTTCAATTTACATTTGCAACTTCTGTTTTTCTATTTCTCTTACATCCTGGCTCCAACATGCACAATCACTGGCGTATGCTCTGGGGATCATCTCGGCCATCAGAAAAGGCTCTTTTGCCAGCAGTCCAATGCCTTTATATAAACAGGACCCTGAGACCTTTGGGATGATGCAAAGAGAGAATGTAGAGGTCAGAAAACGGTTCACACAAGCTACTTAATTGAGGTGCTTGAAATACCTTCATTCCTAAAAGGCTTCAATTTTCTGTCTGTTTTATAGACATCATTACAGTTGCATCTTTCATGTTAGCTAGCTGCTGAAATTGGGAATCTTCTCCCTCTACTTTTGGAGTACAGATGATGCAGAGGTAATTTTTACTTAACATTAAACTCCAGAGTTTGTGCAGAAGAGAGCTCTCAATAAGGACTCCGAGGATACTTTCAGTTGATCAGTATTGGCTCTGCTGCAGAGCGATTTTGGCTTCACACACAAATGTCCCTTTCACAAGTGTTTGTCCAGGAAAGCCCAGCTGGAAGGTACAGGATGATATAGATGGAGTCTGTCACTCAAAGAGCTCCAGGTAGTCGGGTAGCTGGTCCTGCTGCCCACAGGGGTAAAGGAGGAGCTCTTTCCCCAGGGAAGTTACGGGTTCCACCTGTTAATCACAAGGCACAGTGTCAGGCTGGGTGTGGGGTTGGCAGATAGTTGAAATAGTATAAATAATAGTAATATGGCCTTCCTCCCTCCTCAGACAACGTTACTCCCTGCATACCCTTGATTTACACTAAACTTTATTGTTGTCTGACAATCTTTTTTAAAGTTGTGCTTTAAGTGAAAGTTTACAATTCAAGTTAATTTCTCATACAAAAACTTACAGGCACATTGTTATGTGACCCTAATTGCTCTCCCTATACTGTGACAGCACACTCCTCCTTTGCGTTCCGGATTTCCCGTGTCCACTCAACCAGCTCCTGACCCTCTCTGCCTTCTCCTCTGGCCTCCGGACAGGAGCTGCCCATTTAGTCTCATGTATCTACTTGAGCTAAGAAGCACACTCTTCATGAGTATCATTTTATGTCCCATAGTCCAGTCTAATCTTTGTCTGAAGAGTTGGCCTCAGGAATTGTTTTAGTTCTGGGTTGACAGAGACTCAGGTGCCATGTCTTCCGGGGTCCCTCTGGTCTCAAACCATTAAGTCTGGTCTTTTTACTAGAATATGAGTTCTGCACACCACTTTTCTCCTGCTCCGTCAAGGACTCTGTTATGTTTCCTGTGGTGTCTGACAATCTTAAAAGAGATTTTTCTCACTCCCAAGCTCCCATATATACCTGTACCCTCCTGGGCTCAAGTTCTATCTCAAGACTATTTTCAAGAAGGATTGATGTGTGCATAGATTTTTTAGCTTCTCCTGTATTCTCTGTCTCTGTGGGGTCTCCCTACATATTTTATGAGGAACTAGGTTCTATGATAAAAGAAATGCAATTAAGAATTCTGATTATCAGGAGGAATTATCAAAGACGAATTCCACCGTTACTTGTCTCCATCTTTTTTGTTATAATTGCCTTTCATTGTTAGAGTTGCTAACAGGACAATTAATTCACAAAGCAAATTAATTTTGTAAATCGTTTTACCTTGTGATATTCCACCAAATCTGCCAGAGTGGCATGCTGCAGCTGGTCCACACCCAAGAAGCTGTAAGAGTCCGCAGAGGCATCTATGAGGAAATGTTTACAGCCGTCCTTGGATGCATAGGATAGGACGTAGCCTTTGATCCTTTCACTGACTCGGATCAGAAAACTGCCCGGCACACCTGTGCTCAGAAGTTCATTTGCTCTGTTTAGTGTGAGAATTCCTGTGGGAAAGAAAGGCAGGTATTTCAGCCAAATCATTTTCAAAATTCTCCTCAGTGAATATAGCTACATGAATAAAGTTTAGCAAAAAACGAGAGCAAGGTTAAGTCCATCTTGAGGTCTTAGCAAAATATCATCCATCTTCTGAAACTTGGTACTTGAACATGGGTAGGTTATATAAGCAAATGAATGGTATAATAAGAGCTTAAATGTTTAACCTTCTTAAGAAGAATAAATCGCCATGCATACACATTTATAACAACAGAGATGTTACAAGGCTTCAGAGGGTCTGGCAGGACCCCTTGGCAGTCACACGGGGGAGTGTTAGGTCTGGAAGAGGAATTAAAGACCCTCCCTCAGGCCAACTCAGTTTACTGTTGAGGGCTCTCAGGCCTGGGGGATGACTTGACTTGTTCTAGAACAGAGGCTCTCAACCAGAGCAATATCTGGAGGCTTTTGGTTGTCATGGATGGGGAGTGCTGCTGGCATCTAGTGGGTGGAGGCCAGGGATGTTAAACATCCTACAGTGCACAGGACAGCCCCCCACAACAAAGAACCATCTGGCCTAAAATGTAAACAGTTCTGAGGCTGAGAAATCCTGCTAGGTGGTTCAGCAAGTTAGCAATAAAATCAGGTCTCCAAAGTGCCTTCCACTATAGCTACTCCAAATGATGCTCCACTGACACCTAAAGTAATATACACATACATATACACATACATGGAAACTCTGGTAGCATAGTGGTTAAGAGCCACGGCTGCTAACCAAAAGGTTGGCAGTTCGAATCCACCAGGCACTCCTTGGAAACCCTATGGGACAGTTCTACTCTGTTGGAATCAACTCAATGGCAGTGAATTTGTTTTGTTTTTTTTGTTTTTTTATACACATATGTATATAGGCACACACATACACGTGCATATACACACACGTGCATATATATACATGCAGGTGTGTGTATCACACTTTTCAACATGATTCCATTTTTGTCGTTTAATCCTCAACTCTAAAATAAGAAGAGCTGATATAATATTTTATAGATGAGAAAACTGAGATAGAAAATGTAAGTGACCAAGGTTACAGAATTAGTGATGATTTCAGGTCTCGTGTCTCCCACTCTAGTGGTTTGTTTTGTTTTTCACCTCCTTGGGCTCATGAAATTTTCCCAAAATTGGCTGAAAATAAAATATGGGTATTTATTTCACAAAGAGGAATTCATTTCTCACATGGGCATGTAAATGTAGTGTGTGTGTATATATGTTTATGCATATTCAGAGCTATGTGAATATGTATATATACGCGCAGTGGTTAAGAGCTCTGCTGCTAACCAAAAGGTCAGCAGTTCAAATCCACCAGCTGCTCCCTGGAAACCCTGTGGGGCAGTTCCTCTCTGTCCTACAGGGTCACTATGAGTCGGAATCAACGGCAACGTGATTGGTTGTGGTTATATGTGTGTGCACATAAATAATTTAAATGTCTCATGAATTCACATCTCAATTCAGACTAATCTTCTCCCCAGTTAGTCCGAAGTAATGAGGTTTGATTCATGTTCCAAATTTCCCTTCTTATTCCTATTATAATCCTTCAGATGAATACATAATGTTGTAAAAGGTATAGAAAGTGCACAAACACATCTTGGAAAGACAGCAAAGTTGCTGCATTCCTCAGCAAGCTCTGATTTGGGAGGGAGGAAGTGTTCTCCTAGTGTCCTTTCTCATTTCAGCAGACAGAAAGAAGCTCTTGCCTTTTCCTGCTCCACAATTAGCTCCCTGTTGATACTCAGTGCCATTTCATTAGAAGAAAAAAATCCCTCCTAGTAAAAAGGCCTTGGGTTATCATAGCCCTTAAGCCTTTGTCTTAGTTATCTAGTGTTCCTATAACAGAAATACCAGAAGTGGGTGACTTTAACAAACAAATTTATTTTCTCACAGTTTCAGAGGCTAGAAGTCCAAATTCAGGGTGCCGGTTCTAGGGGAAGGCTTTTTCTGTCAGCTCTGGGGGAAGGTCCCTGTCTCTTCAGTTTCTGCTTCCTGGTTCCCTGGAGATCTCCATGTGGCTTGGCATCAATCTTCCCTCATCTTTGCTTTTCTTGCTTATTTAATCTCTTTTATATCTCAAAAGAGATTGATTTAAAACACACCCTATACTAATCCTGTCTCATTAACATAACAAAGACAACCCATTCCCAAATGGGATTATAATGACAGGCATAGAAGTTAGGATTTACAACACATATTTTGGGGGGGAGGGGGACATAATTCAATCCAGAACAGTCTTGTTCTCAGTAAAGTTAATCGATAATCAAATCCTAACTATCTCAGATGAAATGTAACAGAAAACTATTTTTCTTTTCTGTAAACAGACCTTTAATGAGGGGCAGATTAAAAAAACTCTTCTCCCCAGCCCAAGATCAACCAACCAGTCCTTCTCATGTCTTCTCTTCTCACACCTTCCCTGAAGCTGAGTCCCAGTGCATATGAGGGCCAACCACTGTGATGTGCTGCGTGGTGAGAATCTGGGCGGTGGGTGAACAATTCTGGCAGGCCCCCCCACTCACAGACAGGAAAGACTCCTGAATGGAAGAGGGCCTTGGGCTCTCTTCTGGGGCTCCAGTTCTTTCCTCTTGGTACTCAACAGTACAGACGCATACCCCTATGTGTCATATCCTGTTGCTCTTTGGCCCTTTCCCTGATATGATCAATCTACTGGAAACTGTAGGTGTAGCTGATACTGAGTGAACCTCTTGGCTCAGATGGTGCCCTACCCACTTTATGTGATGCCTGTGTAAGCTCCAACAGATAAGGCCTGCTGCTTTTGACTGTCCAGTTTACTTTCTAAATATCATACCTGGTCCCATTGATATATTACAGATGACAACCAGAAGTTGAAGCAAGGCAACAACACGTAACCAGCCTACTCGGGGACTACAAACGACAGAGGTTCAAAGACACTATATTACAATTGTCTATGAAACCAGGGATATTTTTCACTGACACCGAAGGTCCCCTTCAGAACCAAGGGGCTGACCAACCATGAATGAAGGAGAAAAAGCATTCTGGAAAAAGATTTCTCTCTCATCCCAGACTTACTGACAGCCTAACTCTGAAATGCCAAGTTACTTCAACAAATGGGACAGATGTTATAATTTATAACATCTGGATGCTTTTCAGATGGATTTGGAGTTTGAAAACGAAGGCTATTCTGGAAAATTATAACTAAATCTAGGTTAAGGTCAATTTTTTCTAAAATCAGGTCATATAATAGCTGTAATCAAATTGCCTGAGAGCTTCTTCACCTCTGTAATCATTACCCATTACATGCAGATCTTGGTACTAATCTCCTTAAAAATCATGACACAATAAAATGATTTTGTGGCAAATCACAGGTCATAATGGAGATTCCTTGGACACAGTGATAATGAGGGCAGGTTGAGAAAGTAAGTAGTATGAAGACTAAGCTTTGAATGACGCAAGAGGGTAGTTTTTCTGTCTTTGTTCTTTTTGCTTTACGAGAGTTATTATTCCTTAAGAGCACACTCTATTGGTGCACCTAAAGATACAGATAGATGTTCAATTTGTCATAAGTCCATCAAGGGCAGTGGATACATTCAGGGTGGCTTGGCTGTGATCATCGCCAAACAGTGAGCTTGGCCTGCGTGGGTAGGGCATTCTTGAATGCTAACTCAAAATCCAGTGGCAGATATTAATCACTGCTGGAGTTGGGCAATCTCCTTACAATACTTTTCATCCCCTGATTTGCCACTTGCACAACTCTAAGAATTCTGAGGCAGTGCTCTTCATCCCAATCCCCCTAAAGGCCAGGCACATCCATGCTGTCTCCCTCTGACCAGCTATCTTCACACACATAAGAACCAAACATACATATTAAGGGTCAGAGGAAGATTTCTGTGCCAGTGAAAAAGGATAAATAAATAATTATGTCATCAATTTTTAAAATGAACCAAGTCTCCACCTGGGTAATGGTATGCTTATTTTACATTGTAATCCACAGAGGGCTGGCAGGAGTAGCAGAATAATGGCGGTCCAGGAGAAAGCAGATGTCACTGAGCGAGGTCTTACTAGATGGCACCTGGCTCTGAAAAGCCTGGGACAGATATGGGCTAACTCCTGAGGCCTGAACATCCAGGCACAGAAGATGACAACAGCTGTAGTTGAGGCTGAGCAGAAAAAAAAGTCTTACTCCTCTCTCTGCATGACTCCAGAGGTCCCCATTCAACAATGCTGTTTAGCAGAACTTTCCGTGATGATGGAGATGTTGTCTTCGCTGTCCCTATGACAGCCACTAGTCACATGATGGCCGATGGGCACTTGAATGTGGCTAGTGTGACTGATGAGCTCAATCTTTAATTTTATTTAACTTCAGTGAATTTAAATGGACACATACGTCTAATGGCTACTGTACTGGACAGTGCACTCTGAACCTCCCTAGACTGAGTATTTGGTCCAAGACAGGCCTAGGAGAACCATTTTTTGCACAGGAGAAAGTAAATAGCACTCAAGAGACCTGAAATAACTCAGAAACCCTAGCAGGACCCCAGGTGGAAATCCAAATCACAGGGACTCTTGCTCCACATTAGAAGGGCAGTTCAGTGCAATGGAGAACTCTTGACATTCTC